TGCTGGGATATTGCTAAAAGCGGCATAAAACCATACTCACTCACTCGTAATCAATCAAAACAAAACAATGCACATGTTCTAAGTCATATTTGTACATTGAGTGTTACTTGTTACCGCTAAATTCTGTAGCTAGGTCTGTAGGAGTTTGAGAGAAAACACAATTCAAAATGTCAAGGCTGGAAAATAATCAGTCTTGTTTAAAACAGATTCCATAGGCGTGAAAGGCAAAATAGTGATGAAAATTATATGAATGGATTACTGAAAATGAGTGATGACGCCAGGTGTTTGGAAAAAGGTAAGCATGTCCTCTATGTTAAAAAGGTCACTTATATTTGCACTAATCTGTACCTGGATCGTTTCCAGTATGGTGGTTGAGATGAGACATGGATGAAACCTGTTGCTTCCCGAGTCAGTCTGTATCTTGACTCCTTCCTCCTTCCTTCCTAGACATCAGCCATTTGGCCTTACTCTACACATCACAGCAATGTTTAAACTCTCTGTTAAATCTTGTGAAACAAAATGAATTCTTGATTTGTTGTATTTTACAGTTCAGACAGATCCAGGGAACCGCTTGTGGGAATAGAGGGAGTGAGTAGGGTTTTACCCCATGTTTAGCAATATTCCAGCGATATTACGCCGAGAACAGATGAAATGGGCTTCACATATTATACCCATGCAGGAAATCAAACCCAGACCCAATGGACTACATCATCACAACCTCGGGGCAGAGATTGGCAGTGTTATGGAGGATTTCATACAGGTTTTGTCACCAATGGCCTATATAAATAAATGTATAATTTTTTAATTAAGGATTATGACAAAGTTCAAGAAATTTAAATTCTGGGAAAAGCATTATCTCAAATACAGACTACAAACATATATCAACCTAAAATACATTTGCAACCTTTTCAAATATACTTTTTACAGAATGTATATGATGTATGTCAAAGGCATTTAATACCCAAGTTTCACTAGCTCAAGTTCTCTTTATCTTCTCTACCCAGACCTGCCCCACTGTGCATAAGGCTTGAGAAAATGGAAAGATGTGTTTTGCAACTATCAGATCTATCAATGTAGTTTTTGCCCTCATCTTCCTCGGCTGCCACAAGAAGTGATTATCTGGAGGGTGTATCTAGCGAGGACAGGGATCAAGAGGCAGTGGACCACATGGCCCGGTCCGCTTCTGTTTTACACTCATTACTGATAACATACAAGGGGGTCACTCATTTTCAGCTTCATTTACTGATAGTGGGAAGAATGCTGACTGGAGCCCTCCACACATACCTCGTGGATTGGGCGGGACATTATCTACTGCCCACACGGCCATCGGAACAGGGGCTGTTATACAGGGGCCAGCTGACCCTTACACTAGGAACAGGGGCCACCTGACCCTTACACTAGGAACAGGGGCCACCTGACCCTTACACTAGGAACAGAGACATTGTCTACTGCCCACACGGCCATCGGAACAGGGGCTGTTATACAGGGGCCAGCTCACCCTACACTAGGAACAGAGACATTATCTACTGCCAACACGGCCATCGGAACAGGGGCTGTTATATAGGGGCCAGCTCACCCTACACTAGGAACAGAGACATTATCTACTGCCCACACGGCCATCGGAACAGGGGTTGTTATACAGGGGCCAGCCGACCCCTACACTAGGAACAGGGGCCAGCTGACCCCTACACCAGGAACAGGGGCTAGCTGACCCCTACACCAGGAGACACTTACTAAGCCCCAGGGAGGGTTATTTTTACAGCTGCAATGATATATTCAATCACTGCCACTATGTTGAACAAAGTTGCAAATGGTACATTTCCAAAATGGAAGGCACAAGATATTACACACCCTGAACTGTTTCTACCAAGAAGCTAAAATGGCAAATCGACACCAATGACGCCATGCTAAATAGAGCTCCTTCCCTTAAACACACAGGGCATTGAAATCCATCTGTGAAATTGCTGGCTATTAAAACACCAATCACCATAAAGAGCATAACAAAACTCGCCACTAAAGTCATAGAAAGATCCACCAATCGCCACACAAGTCATAGAAAGATCCACCAATCGCTATACATGGCATAGAAAACTCCACCAATCGCCACACAAGTCATAGAAAGATCTACCAATCGCTATACATGGCATGGAAAACTCCACCAATCGCCACACAAGTCAAAGAAAGATCCACCAATCACTACACAAAGCATAGAAAGGGAACCGAAAACCCAACCAATAACTACACAGGGCACTGAAAACTCCACCAATCATAAAAGGCAAAACAAATACTACCCCTTTCTCTGTACAGAGTGCATACATCAAACGCCCCCTCCCCAACACGAAGCACTACCAGAAAACAGAATACAATCATATAGGTTCTAAAAACACTTTCTGTGACTATCGTTACACAGTTAAACTGCCCATCTAAAAATCCCAACTGAATTTTTTACCAACGTCCTGATCAAACCAAAATGTCAACACAGAACCAATCCTCCAGTCAATATGTTACTTTAAGAACGTCCATCAATAAAAAAAAACTTTTGACTTGAAATATTTCAGCTGCAACCAAACTTGGAAGCTGTCAGAAAACTGATTGCTTCCTGAGACAGACCACTGCCGAAAAAACTTTACCAAGTAGTTGTACACCTATTTAGTGCTATACCACCTTCATTTAATAATCTGCAACAAATGTGTTTTAGTTTTCTATTAGAGAAATTAATCAGAGTAATTGTTAATTTTCTCAGCAGCTACAGGAAATCTTCTCTCTCTACTGTAGTGGAATCAGTCTGTAAACAAGATGCCAGATTTTGACAAATTGATGACAGCTCCAAACCTAACATATCATTTTCCCATGATAGCCGTTGACAGGTCTTCAAAATTGTTTCTGACCAAACAAATAACAAGCACATCTCATGTTGATATTTTCTCCAAATTTTGACTCCAGCTTCTTCTAACCTGGTGACTTGCCAATAAAATCTTATCTTGCATAAAATCTATGTATGGATGTCGCTTATTATGACCGAATATTGTACTAATGAGAAAATACAGGGAAGTGTGGAGAGTTTATCAACATCCTGTAATTTCTGCAATGAAATACCGGAAGTGGGAGATTTACCAACATAAAAACATAAGAAGTGAGAAAGAGCGAGTCGTAGATAATTAAAACACAGAACCGTCCCTGAGATGAATATCAAACCTAGGATTCATAAACACGATGAGGTCAGCAGGGTAACAAATTAACACAATATGGAAAACTATTTCTCGAAATTATTTTAACTGAAACTGTCTTACAAACAACTAATTATATTTCATGAAGTGGGTAATTAAAACTTAACATGTTACAAATGTGTTCTAACCGAAGTGAAAAGAGTGAAAACTCATTAAGGTAAACAACGTTTAGGAAAACTTGAAAGAATTAGAACCTACTATTTATACTCCTCTTGGTAGGAGTATCTCCTCCACATCAGTTTTCATGGATTAATTTACATCCACACATCACAAAACACAGCGAGAACATATTTAAACACATATCAATTTTATTTTCTAATGTTAGGAATACGATAACTATGTAATGACGAAAACGGTTTTAGCGCCAAAGTGATGATTCCTGAAAATAGCATAGACATATTATCTAGCATCATTGCGAAGACAAAATAAGATGAAAAACTACAAGTCTAGTATCTTGTGTATGCAGGCAGGATTGATATGGTTAACTAGTTTTGATATCCAACAAACATATGAATCCTTACAGCATTAGAAGGGCTTTACGTTACCTACAGACAGGTGTGTCATATAGACGAAAGTTAATCGGAAGCAGACAGGTATATTTTCTTCCACTGTAAACAGTTTGGAGATATTTAAGTGAGCTACACTATGAGAAGCGTCATCACAGTATAAGGATAACTATCCTAGGTCTTTGATGTACAGCTCTCGTGGCAATGTCCTGATGTCTTCACTTGAAATGGAGCTGATGCTAATACTATGAATTTATTATCTAATTTCAAGATAATCACATCATCCGAAAATGGTAATTACCATGATATATAGGAATACACCTAAAAGCAGATTATTTATTGAAATTTCGGCTAACAATTAACACACAGTCTGGGTCTAGATTATTATGGGTTTATTGAATAGGCACATTCGTAAATTAGGCATATTCCTAACTCAGGCACATTCTTAAAATAGGCACATTAAAAAAATAGGAACATTCATAAAATAGGCACATTCATAAAATGAGCGAATCTTTCCCAAGATCCTCTTGCTTGACAGACATTTATCTATAGTTTATCACATTTTGAACAGCCAAAAGTTGACCTTTACAGAAGGTTCTAAATACTGGGAACTTATGTTCGATCAAAAGATGACATCCATAAGATGCCCTAGCGCAGATATTAAATAGACATGAGAGTAACTGTGGGTACAGACACGAGCACAAAGATAATTAACTCTACCAGGGGAATACATTCATCCCATCTATTGAATCTCATAGAACAGTTTAACTCATTTGACTACTTGTCGTGATTTGTATTTTATTACTCTTACTCTTGTGCTTCCTGAACATTTTTCTAACAGGGGTAGTGACAGTGACAGGTTTCAAATGTAATTTAGAAAAACTGATGATTAAATTTCCCCACAGATGAGTCAGACTCCTCAATTTTAAAAACAAAAATGTGCTGACATCATCAAAAAAGAGTAGGCTCATCGTGTCACAATTTGAAACAAACTTACAAGGTTCCAATGGCTGATACTAGCGGAAAGATAAGAACTGAAAGAATCATTGTGATAAATAGCTGCACCGAATAAGCCACGCCTTGTCAGGACTTGAAGAAACTTTACCAAACCTGATATCTTTGAAAAATCAGAATCCAAGAAGTCAACCTCTTGTCATAGAGGAAATAACATCACAGCTCCAAATAAAAATGTCAAAATCCATATTAAGAAATCTCTGCTAAAATCAGTCAATTCTGCTATTTGAACTATATCATGATTAAGACATACCTGCTTCTGGAGACCGTCCTTGATCGTCTGTAGCTGTGCAATCATCTCATTGAGCTTCTGTTCCTTGTCCTGAACTGGACCATCACTGGTTAGAATCTGCTGCACACTCTCGATCACCCCTGGGTCCTTCTCTTCTGTAGTCTTTGTCAATATGTCCTTCATATCTGTGTCCTGGCTTTTAGAGTTCAATCGTCGCAAAACACTTGCCATAGATTTCTTATGCAGCCCTAAAGAAGGCTTTGTTGTGGTTAGACAGTTATTATTGTTTTGCAATGAGCTGTGACACTCGTCACTGTCGGACTCCGCTGAGTGCTGGCTGCCCACCCGATCACCAAGTCGCTGCTTCTTGCGGGGCAGTCTGTCCGAACCAGTGTCCGAAGAATCGTTATCACTGTGGTCAAACTGGATAAACTGATGAGGCAGGTGTGGCTCTGGGTCACCCTCCGAATCAAAATGGTTGTTGTCACAGTCCGAGTTGAGAGTTTGTCGCTCTAGTACGACGTCGTCCTTACTTAATTTTGTTGGGGTGTTTTTTCGCTTAGAAGACATACTCCTGCAAAAGAGAAAAATATAATGAGTCCTGTGAATCCTTTTCATTTATTGACGTCATGAGGTCTGGCAAAGTCGATGATCGTTCCTGTATAAAACATACTCGGCTGAAAAGCAAGAAATTATTTACATGACACAATCAATCAAGCGTGCACTCCGACATTGGGAAATAACATAGGGAAGAAGTGGAGTTTGCTTCGTTGCTTACATTTGTGGCATGGTGTCAATCTGAGAAAATCATCTGACACCCACTTCCGCCGCAGTAAAGTTTCAAATATCCAAAAGACTATCAAGTTAAGATGTGTGAATCTTGATGCAAGAGTGAACAATTCTCTGAAAGCAAAGATGAAACAGAAATCACAAAGAAAATGGAAATCCCGTGTATAGAAGCACACTGAGAGTATGGTGCGCATTAACCAGCCTACCAAATTAAACCAACTTGTGCAGGGTCCCAATCACAGCCAATTGAACCATTTCCATTCTTAGGCCTGTTGGACTGAATCTTATCAGGAAGCATGCTTATTCCTCAATCTCATCAATTCATGGTTTGACAGGCATTATGCAATCTACACAATGGCGCAAAGTGTTGCAGCAGTGACTCTGTCAGAGGCGTTGTTTGTGTGGTGAGTTGTTAGCAGCAGAGGGATACACCACAGCAGACGCAAAGTAGCAGACGCAACATAGAGCCGCAGCAGACGGCAAGAGAGAGAGAGATTTGATAACTGGTAATGAGTGTATGTGTGTGACTACCCCTTCTCATCTCCATGTGTTCCCTGTCTTTGCTGAGAGCGCAGAGATAATACAGAGGAGAGGCCAGGACCTGTAGAGTGACTGCCCTTGCGTGGTTTATACTAAGAGATGAGTTTATTCATTTCCATAACCCCGTGTGTTCAACCAGACTTTTCTACGTGCAATTCGGCATCAAATAGAAGAATTCTCCTCCACAAAAACGCCAATGTGACAAGCCGGCTATTGTTGGCGGTCTTGTGAGGAGCTCCTGTGTTGGCAACTTTGGGACCTGTGCAATATCTGTATACTATGATAGGTGCTGAAATGTAAACCAATTTACTTTGGGGAGAAAAACGCTTAAATCTTGTCTTTCACTGATCCGAGTTACAAATTGTGTGTGTCAACAGTTTTGAAAGGCGATTTAGCAGATAATATTTCCAAATTGTTCACAGTGTAAACAACATGTCCCTTATCGTACAGAATAGCAACAGATCAACAATTCACCACAGATACATCTGCCACTTTTTTTCTGACATTGCTCAAATTTCTTTTCTGTAGTGCCAGAAATAAAGTACGGATTTTATCAATTGTGGTATTTCTGCAACAAGCCTTATAACGAGAGTTTTAGTGGGGGGTGATTATGGAAGGGGGGAGAGGAGGAGGGGGAGAGGAGGGGGGCAGGGAGGGGAGTGGATATGTTTGGATGAAGTGTCCCTCTTTCTTTGATAACATCTCATGAAAGATAGACTCAGTATGCCGTAAATCCACACAAAGACATTTTCCCATTGCAGATCTTCTGTGGATAAACACCTTGCAGTATAAAGTTAGCCGTCCAGAGATGTTTCACTGATATCTACATCTCAGAACACTGGCATTAATTAAAGACTTTTTAATTAAACCTCTTTCACTTTTCACGGGTTTTTTCAGGGAAATCTTTTATATGAAAAAATTCTTGATGAGATTATGTCCCAATATTGCATATTCTGGATAAGATTATGTCCCAGTATGGCATATTCTGGATAAGATTATGTCCCAATATTGCATATTCTGGATAAGATTATGTCCCAATATTGCATATTCTGGATAAGATTATGTCCCAATATTGCATATTCTGGATGATTTATGTCCCAATATTGCATATTCTGGATGAAATCATGTCCCAAAATTGCATATTCTGGATGATTTATGTCCAAGTGTCTGCATCCCAACATATGCATCTCCATCCTTCAATAAGTGTATTTTTAATTCTCAAATAAACATCTCTCTACCTCCACATAAGTATCCTTGTAGTTATATACATAAGCATCTTTGTACTTCCACATAAACATCTCTCTACCTCCACATAAGTATCCTTGTAGTTCTACATAAGCATCTTTGTACTTCCACATAAACATCTCTCTACCTCCACATAAGTATCCTTGTAGTTCTACATAAGCATCTTTGTACTTCCACATAAGTATCCTTGTAGTTCTACATAAGCATCTTTGTACTTCCACATAAACATCTCTGAAGCTCAACATAAACATCTTTGTAACATAAGCATCTCTGTACCTCCACATAATCATTTCTGTAGCTCTTTCCAAGCATCTTACAAGTAGTGAGTACTTCAATAAGCTCGTCTTTACCTCTACATAAGCATTTATAAGCATCAGTGTAGCTCTACATAAGCATCTGATCATGGAACATATGTAAGTGTCCTTCTAAATACACGCAACAAAGCGTTAAACATGCAACTGTTTCCGAAACAAATCCATCTGTTTTCACAAATCAATTTCTAAACAATCTACAAATATTCACAGTCCAATAACCACCTTCAACCACTGTGTCACATATATCTAAGCCACAGTGTTGCTACCTATAGCCTATAGCCACTCAAAAGCATACCCTAGACAATCATAACTCTCTCAGTGGAGATGGCAAAGATTTTATAATGAACACTCTTGTTAAAGAATTCAAGGACTGGTTCTTCCTTATCTATAGCCAGAAAAAGAATTTGAAATGACATTATGTTCCAGAGCAGGTTAGACTACTGCTTACAAGCACTATGGAGCGGCAGGGGCATCCCCTGTGATAAATTAGGCGATATGGCCAGAGCTTCTGGCACTGCTGGCCAGAGCATGATAAGAGAAGGGTATAACCTGCCATAATTACTCCCTCGCACACTGACATAACTCCAGTGTCCAATGGCTGCTGTTTAATTGGCAGCCCTCCTGTCGGGGCAAGCAAGGAATTGGACAAAGCTCCTGGCATGGTAATCTCTAAGATGTGCTTATCTACTCTGGAGAAAACACAATAAGCAAATCAAAAGCACATTTCCACCTGTCAGACTTGGCAGCAAAAAATGGGAAATGCCACAATTGGAGAGAGTTGAGTGTTGGAATCAAGTCTGACTTTGTAGGAGGGGAACAAAACAAAGGTATGTGGAGAGAAGACTATCAACTGGGGAACAACATCTTGGAGCATAACAGGAAAACAGGAGAGATTAAGAGGCATTCCTGACCAGATGGGTATCTGGAGGAGTGTGGCATCGCCTTCATCATTGGGCTTACTCTAGACATGGCTTTGTGTTTCGCAGTGATTACACAACATGTTGTTAACAGCTGATGCAGGGTGCCTGTGATGGATTGGAAGTCTTTAACAGCATACTTTAAACCCATCACAACACATGCCTCTGTTCCTGTGTCCAATGATGCTGGCTATAGTCATCAGTAGCCGAGACAGGTATTTGTCCCAGAGAGTTAAAATTCTTAATTTATTAACCTGTGTCATGTGATTAAATATACAACCTCAACGTCAAGAAATAACAAGTTTCGATCATCTGACGAAACAGATTCCATTGGGCGTAAAAGTCAAATTAGCGTTAATATTATACGAATGGATCACTGAAAATCAGTGAAGACACCAGGTGTTCTCGAAAAGGGTAAGCAAGTCCTTACTGGTAGCACCTGCCCAACACCAGGTGTTCTCGAAAAGGGTAAGCAAGTCCTTACTGGTAGCACCTGCCCAACACCAGGTGTTCTCGAAAAGGGTAAGCAAGACCTTACCGGTAGCACCTGCCCAACACCAGGTGTTCTTGAAAATGGTAAGCAAGACCTTACCGATAGCACCACCATTCACATAATTTGCGTAAAACATATTTGCATAAAGAATTTACTGACATCTGTAAGGTTTTCCTATACAAATCATCATAAACTTCAGTTATTGAAACTACACTAAATCATAATTTCTGAATATTGATTTTGTACTAACTTCAACAGAAATTGTGGAACTCTTGTTGGGTTGCAGTGGCAAATGATGCTGCTCTTATGGAGAGATGACAAATTAGTTACATGTGTTCTTAGGCGGAGATATTCATATCATTCAAATGGAAGTGAATGTCGGCGTTGAGAGAGTGCCAAATTACAGAGGCTGGTACAGTTCCAGATTACAAGGTGGAGTGTTGAGAGAGCGACAAATTAATAACCAATCGTTAAAGGTTACATAACAAAGGGTTCGGTTTAGAGAGTGTTCTTAAAGAAGAGTACAACATAAGTTGGTTTAGAGAGTGTGAATAAAAGCGATAAAACAATCCCACATTACAAGGGATGGTTTAAAGACAGGAAAAACACAAAAAAACGGACACGATTTGTTTCGCCAAAACGATGGAACACCAATAGCATCAAGACGGCCCTTCCCTCGTGATCAACAGTCACCACAATGGATTTCCAATTAAACAACAGGATCTCGAGAGATTACTCATCACATGTTGAAAACAACTCTTTGACAATATCACCTGTTATCCCCCCCAGCGCCATTTCTCTTACAAAACGGAAAAATAATTCAAGCACTCCTTAGATATGGAATGTGCACTCATCCTGGGTTCCTGTGCCCTTGAATTGAACCAATATGACTTCATGCCCACCTGACACACAGAGACATAAATCATGGATTATCTTCAACCTCTTTTGTGAACATGGCCCTTATCTCCGTCAAACCTGGCTCTATCAAACTGTCCTTGGAGTTCTTCCACAATAATTTCAACTATGGAACTGGTAGCGCCACCTCACATGTGTTTAATGCCTTAAACACTGACTGCATACCTTGTTGGAGTTTTCATGAATGACCCCAGCTTCACAGGTGCTGATAATATCGGTGTGATAGTGTTCTGTTATTTTCCGTCCAAGTGGGAGTCATGTAGTAGCTAATTACAAAGAATGGCCTTGCTATTTTCTACAACACAGGGTGCTGGTATCTAAATTTGGGGAGCATTATCTAGGAAGATAATTCCTGGAAATG